CCCATCTCCACCACCACCAACCGCCACTGAACGCAGATTGCTTATACGGAAGCTATATTTTCAAATCCTAAATAACTCCCGCGACGCGGCGATCCCGACCGGAAACGTCCTGCTGCAAGTATTCCACGAATATCCGAGAATTCTATAATATCCAAGATATATCCAGGATCGTGCTCTACGAAATATCGGAATATTATAAGAAGAATATTTTCCAAAATATCCGGGACTTTTTGGGAAAACGGTCTTGGCGCTCCATGAAAAGGGGGCTACTTCATAAATTTATCATATTCAATAGGGACCGGTCTGGGAAAACGTACGCAAAAATAAAACGGGAGACATCCGTAATATTTATAGAATAATTATAATTTCATATTCATATTATCCATATTAAAAGAAGCTAGAATTGACCCGCTACCTACACTAACAGAAAATATTAATCTGAGAAAATCTATAACGAGAAATCCGACGGCCATATAATAGATGAAATTTTACGTGAAATCCGATGAACTTTCAATATTTTAAAATCGCAGGAGATATATAGATTCTGAAAGATTTTAGATCTCCGCCCCGGGTCTTCACGTTCCATTGAGCCGCCGCGCAGACAATCAAAGAGAGAGAAATAACTCGAAATCGTGGGAGATTATTGGTCACGCAACCTTTTGATCGCGCGGCCTCCATATCCAGCCCGATCTTTCCGCCTCTCATCTCTCTTGAACCATCTGCGCGGCGGCTCGGGGAATGGGTAAGTCTCCATGACCATATATGATCAATCTATTAATTCCAAAAAAGATTCTCCATCCCGGATCTACGCGTTCCTCCGAACAGATGCGCCGACAATCAAAGGAAACTAAATCTAGGAATATATAAGATCGCACGTGAATCTCGACGAATAATCAATATATAATATCGCATATAATCCAGAACGACCAATCTAATAGATCCTGAAAGATAATTCCACTCCAAGCCGCCTGACTTGGGGGGGGGGGGCGGGGGCGGATCCATGCAGATTCGACTGGCACGCCCTGCCATATAATACCCCCGCTCGGATTGAGAGGCCCGGAGCGTTGAACTCTGTGCTGGATCCCCGATGACGCATGCGGAAGGGCAAAGAAAGAGAGAGGGATTGTTTTCATAAGCTGGAGGGCGTCCCAGGTCGACAATCCCTCCCTCATTCAGATCCTGAAAGATTTTAGATCTCCGCTCCCAACCTATGCCGAGCCGCCGTGCAGACAACGGAAGAAAGAGAAATGATTCGAAATCTCGGGAGATTTTCCGTGGCGCTGCCCCCGCATCCAACCCGGTCTTTCCGCTTCATTTACTTATTGGAATATCTGCGCGGCGGCTCGAGGAAACCCATTAATCTCCGTAGATGAATATGGTTATTCTATAAATTCTAAAAGATTTTATTTCTCCTTGCCAGGCCTATACGCTCCGCGGAAGACCCGCATAGATAACCAAAGAAAGATAAATCGTAAAATCGTTCCAAAGGCAAATGAAATATTTCGGGTCAAATATTTCCGAAATTTTAGAAGCTTTAGCTTTTGAAAAAAGATCTAGAATTTCCGAGATTTTAAAATCTATAACGATATCTATAAGAATAAGAATCAGAAAATCTCGGCCGTATGCGAACGAAATAACGCAATAAAATATCGAGACTTTAGATTTGATCTCCGATGAAGATCTATAACGAGAAATCTATTAATCAAATAATATATAAAATCCGATATAATATATCAAATCCAACAAAATATTAAATATAAAGATATCATAAAAGAAATAGATACTACTTATAGATATCCGCCCCAGACCTTCGTATTCCGCAAAATAGACAACCAAAAAGAAAGAAATATTTTGAAATCTTCAAAGATTATAATCTCTGCATCGCGCGAATTCCGTATATAATCCGAGCTTCTTTTTTTATCATTCTCGATCCTAATCTATGACCCTAAATCCCGCAATAAATTTTTCATATTCCTAAATTCCCCCCATCATCATACCTTACAACTGAAATCACGCAATTCCATACGAAACCCCCCCCGCCCCCGAAGACATTCGCTCAAGCCGATAGATACCCTGGGTTTAGGGTTCAAGCTTTAGCACTTATAGTTTAGAGCTCAGGGTTTAAGATTTATCCCCGAAATCTTAAATCCTAAGCCCTGCGCCGGCAGGGAGCACCAGCTGCAGCTTTAACTAGAAAAGACCATATCAAGAGAAATTGAATTCTAAATCTTAAGCAATCTGAGGCACTGTAAATTAAAAATGAGTTCAATTTCTGATGTATTATCAAAGACCCTAATCTCTAACATCCCTAAATATCCTAAGATTCCTAAACCCTAAATGCTATAATCCTCGCCCATAAATCCTTCAATCCTAAATACTCTAAATCAGAATCCTAAATTCTAAGCCTAATCCCTAAAACCTCTCGAATCTAATATCATCCAGCAAAAGAAGTCCAATAATATTTCCTGCCTCGCCAGGATTCGCAAGAGATAAGAGTAATAGAATTACCTATATATCGATTCAGAAAAATCCATACATATCAATAATCCAAAAAATATAATAAATAAGCTTAAATATAATTTCGACGGGAGAATAAGCAATATATAAAATCCCATATCATCAAAATCGACCGACCTAGTATATTCTATAAATGAATAAATCAGCATGTTTAGGGCTTATCGTTACGCAAATAAAGAGAGAAAGATATAATTCGAAATCTCGATTTCATTTTTACCGCTATGCCTATAAATTCTTAGTGATAAATATAAGTATCGACGAAAACTATGAATTCTAAACGATTTTATGTATCCGTGACGAGACGAAAAATATTTCCCGAACGGTCATAGAACGGTCATATAGAAAAGAATGAATTGCGGAAAATCGTTCCGGATATACGATCAAATATCTCATTTCAGAGCCTATTTTTTCCGAAAGTCTCGAGATTGATAACCCCCAAGTAACCAATCTCCAAAGAGCATTTTAAAAGTGAGCCACTAGGCCGCGTAGAAGTGGCCGCGCCGTAATATATTTGAGAATTATATATATTCATATATGAAACGAAGTATAGCAAAAAATGAAATACATGTATTTAATGATAATGATTTTTGAATCTCAACGGGTTTTTTATTCTTAATAAGAAATGATATTTATCATCTTCTGTCTCATTTCATATTTTAGATGCGTAGCAATTTGCCAATCTGGGCCTTGCGACGCAAGATGACGCAAGTGCTTCTGCTCATCAGCTTCTGGCCAGCCAATCTTCTTCTAAGATGTTTTTGGCCCAGACTTACACTTTTTGGACCTTTTGTTTTTATCTCGAACGTGTGTGTGTGTGTGCACGAACAACATTCAAGAGTCTGATGTCACTTCGCACTCACATGGTGCCAGCGACATTTCTTTTGATAGCTCGCTGAACGAACTAAAGAAGTTGGCAGTGATGCAGCAGCGAGAGATCGGCAGTCCTACTTTTGATTGATATTCTGCATGATGAAGCCACTGAACTGATGGGGGATGCTGTGGCTAATCTTCAGAGAATGATTGCCTTGCGCACCCCAAACCCTTAACCGTGTGGCTTGCTCCTGGACCAGCCTCTGCTTGGCTGGAAGCTGGAAGGCTGAAGCTGCTCAAAGAAAACCTCTCACAAATGCGTGCCGCACGGCCTTCACATCCTTTGCTCACAAAAGGCGTTATGCAGAAACAAAGGCGGCAACCAGTGGCCAAAAGCTGCTGCACAAGATCGCACAGGCTCCAGAGAAAGACTTTTCCCAGGAGACGCACGAATCCTTCAGTAGACACCGTTCAAGTCAGCATTACATCTTCCACCCTTAATTAACACTGCGCGCAAGCGGGAGCTTTGCCACCGCCATTTTCCTTATCAGTTTACGTGCCAGGCTGGATGGAAATTGCACCACGCCCTCAAAGCAAGCGTCGCGAAGCCATGGATTCGCTTTGCGCGGTGCTTTGCACCTTGCTCTGCTCTTCTTTGTGAATCCGAGCTTCGACTGGTGGCCCAGCCGGGGCTAAAGCTCGGTGAGCACTCCTTGTTCTCGATAATGTCCGGCATTTTGCAGCTGTCATGGCTTCAGCAGTCCGGCAGATAAGCCACGAATTGACCCAGGGGATGGACACTTACCAGCTCATCACAGTCAGGCCTTCCAGGATGTTGGATCCCGTGTTGCTCACTTCGTAGTCCCAGAATTTTCACTCATTGATGCAGCCTGCCAAGCCTCTGTGGCAGTCTCTCCTCCATGCAACAGCGGAACCCGCCGAAGTCGCAGCGTCGAAGCTTACAAATCCGATTTCTCGAATCTTGGCAGTCGTGCTATGCATCTCTTCCGTCCTGAATCGTCCGTCCGGCAACGTTGGCCTGCCACACAAGTATCACAAGAAGCTACTCAAACACATATCTCCAAAAAGAGGACCCTCCTTGACATTTCCCATGTCTAGACAGAGATTTTGCAGGTTGTTCAGGTTCAGATTTGTAACAACAATGATCTGCGCCTTCGTCGCGGTAAAGAGAAGTTTGCGACTGGAGAGAATGCCAGGCTCGACTCTCCTCTCCAGGCAATCTCCGGAAGTCTCCAAGCTAAAAGCATTGTGGTTTTGACTCAGCCCTCTCTGACGTGCGTAATCTCTTGAGAAGGTATCTCCAAAATTCACGAGCCCTCGCTGATTTGCAAATTGCATCAACTTGCTTACGGACCCTCTGGAAAAAGTAGCAGGCGTCGCCAGGAAACCTTTAACAAAGCAATGCTCCATCACCCCACTCACAGGAACTTCCGTGGGCATGATTTTTACACGCTGCATGCGGATGTAACCGATCATGCTGTTGGGCTTGTTGCATCTTTGTTCCACAAGCCTCACAGCGAGAAACAAGAAAGAGCATTAACCTTCGCAACACAAATGTCGCAAATTGTTCCGCCAGGGCATTTTGCCACAGCGGAAAATGAACTAAATGAATAGTTGAGATGTGTTGAAGCTCTCCACAGTACCATTCTTTCTCAGGAAGCATCATTGGCTTCCAACAGTTCAATGCCTCCAGGGCCTTGTGAAGCTGGCGCCTGGCAAAGCAAAACTTTCAGATGCTATTCGTGTCGCTTCCCGCAAAGCATCCACACTTTGCAGACTTGCACACTTAAAATGGACGCGGTGGCCTCTGGACCCTTTCGCCTCATGAAGAAGCACAAACCTGCACCAAGGACATGTTAGAATTTTATCGCTGCTGTTGGCTGACCGGCCTGCTCCAAGCACGACAACTCCCACTGCGGCAGCCACAATGAAAGCACGCTTCGAAGCAGCGGCCACCTTCCGTTCGGGCGGGACATGGTAGCTCGTCTGAATTCTGCTAATTCACATCTTCTACTCATCAAGTCGGCAGCGAGTGTGAGTGGCAGCGCCAAGTGGTTGGAAAGGCAAGCCTGCTTTGCACAGTCCTTCCACGTCTTCTTCACTCTTGCATATAAATGACAAAGCACGAATGCGCTAGGTAGTCCTCCTGAGCCGCAGTAATCGCACCAGGGAGTACTTCTGCAAGCTCACACCAAGCCACTGCTACTGTCAACGGTGCCTGGCGTACTTTTCGGGCAAAGAGTGCGCAAGCTTCCTTGACAATGCGTTAAACTTCGAAGGTGGGGCCTGGCAGCCAGAGCCCAGGTCCAAGGCATCGCGTAGCGCCCGCATGGCGAGATCCATGCGGCCTTAAGTGCCACTTACGTCTTTGTACGACCCGCTGAGCCGCACCAACTGCATGCTGACAGCATGTCATCACATTGGATAGCACGTACTGTTGCTTTTTTCTCATCATGTCAGGGACCTGGATCTGGGAGGCTGCTTCCTGATTCTGTGACTTCGTTTTCGCAGGATGGCGCAGCAGGAGTCCTGCTGCCGCTCTGAATCGAGGCCAAGCTGCATATCTCAGCTTCAGAAGTGTTGCCCAGGGTCAGCGCCTAGCAACCCCAACAAAGTATCATGTTCAATGACATGGGGTGGGCAGCGGCTGTCGGCGTGCCTTCGCATTCTGGATGAGCTCATGCACGTGCATAAACTCGTGGCAATTCGTGGGAATGTCTTGCAGCTCTGCCTAGCCCGCCGCTCCGGGGCTAAAAAAGCTGAAAAAAGGATATGCTCATGAAGGCTCAAATGTCCCAAGTCCAATTAATCCCCTGGTGACCTGGAGCCTCAGCACCGTCAGCTTGCGCTTTGCCTTTGCAGGGATTTGTTTCAGCGACATTGCAGGTGCATGTCCTTACATGCTCGGCGACAGTCGAGCGACTGTTGGGTTTGGCAGCAGGGTAGCCCTGGTTGGGGTTTGCTAGTTTGGTGGTCAGCACTTCCTGTGGCCGCACAGGGAAGATCACTGAATGGCTGCAAGAACATGCGTACTCTTTTTCTGATCTTAGGGTCTTAGGGTGGCACCTGCTCAATGAGGTCGCTCTCAGCTCCAAACTCCGAGGCCAGGTCCTGGCACAGGCGAACTCCCAGCCAGAAAGAAATCCCCAACACACCATCACAAAGGACTACTCAGGACAATGTTACTAAGCAGCAAAGATGCCAAGGCTTCTTGGATCTTGTCGACATCGTTGCTTCTCATGACGGCCTTGCGGGTTGATACCATGAACCATGTTGCGGCTTCTGCGAGCCGCAGGCTTTAGACACAACTCTATCAGGATATGACCACAACAATGGTGGCAATATAAACCCCTACATAAAACCAGTTTTTCATTTAATTTCATGTTCCATTTTCTCTTCCATCCCTGGATGATTCTATTTCGCTAAGCCCTAGACAATACAGTAGTTTCTGGTTTCGTGTACATTCCCCTATATAACTCATACGACGGATGTATATCCCTAACCTAAACCCTACAGAATTCCTGTACCACCCCTAGATTACCCCGTATGAGGCATAGTCTAAGCTCCAAGCATCCCCCGTAATAACCCCTATAATCTTCCCCCACATAAGCCCTTTAAGGAATTTAGGCTCGAGCTCATATGGTAGTTTCCCCAAATAAGGGGACCCCCAAAATAGACTCCAGAATACTATAGTCTTTATTATGGGGACCCCCAAAAGGGTACCCCTAATTTTGGGAAACCCTAACCCCTATAATCCCCTACATAATCCCAGTTTCCATTTCATTTTCCATTTTCTTTTCCATTTGATTAGCCACTACGGCTGACAGCAGCTTGAAAGTCGAACTTCGGGCCA